CTGTTGTGAAAAAAGTAGAATCAATTTATTTCCATATTGCTATTGCTCGTTTTCGATAATTAAGACCTATAGTTACAATGGATCAGTAGGTTACTACCTACTATGAATCGGTGTGGTCCTTCAAGAAACCTCCCTTCGGTGTCGATTGCGCCCAATATATACTTGATTACAATCTATTCGTATATTTTCAATTAGGTATTCATATAATTATATATCATAATTAATTTTATATAAATAAATCACGCAATTAAATTTACGTTATACAGGTTTCAAGTCTCCGGTGTGTTTAAATAACCAATTATACCAGTAGTGACCGAATCCACGGAAAATGGAACAACTGCTGGAATTATTACAAAAATTGAAATCCGGCCTGCAGATTATGGAATCTAAAATCGAAGCAAGTCAACAAGGAATAAGAGGTATGCATCAGGATCGCATACAGCAGAAAATAAAATGAAAGCTGAATTGAACTACGAAAACAGTTAGTAAGAGCACAAAATATGAAATACCACGACAGATGCACGGTGGTATATCGGGAGGACATCTCGAGGTGACGGAAACCCTGGTGATAATATGGTAACGATTCTACTATGGATATACTGCAAACAAAATGTAAAGGAGTGATGCAGAAATTGTGCATTTTGTGCCACAAGAAATGGACCGGTAGCATGTACCTTTACTATTTTACTTTTTCCCACATATTGTTGTTATTATTATATTATTATCCCTTTTTCAGAAATTATAATTAAAAAAAGTACCAAATTTCCATATTTGTTTTTTGAATTGGTTAGTTAGAAGATGCTATTTCTTCCAAATTCGATCCAAAGTAGTGCCAAACGGTTTGATGTACTCCATTTAAAAGGGCACATGAAGAAATGGTACGTATGCATGCTCTTACAAGAATCGCCGAACATATACAGTATGTCCGACCGGATTACTTGAGCAAGAGGAAATATGTTTTGTTTTTGTGTTTTCGAAAAAATGCGAAACACAAAAATCTTGATTATTTTTGATTATTCTTAAGATACTGACTAAGATGGTAAAAATATCTTACCAACGACCAAAAAGTATGTATTCTGTATACACCTTAAATACAATGTTAATACACAAATGGGCACTGAGGAATTTCGATCATTCATAAGCAAAGAGTTGAAATGAAACTGAAATGAGGGAATTTTTAATTTATTTAAAAGGCTTTTATGGAGATGACGTAGGCTTTTCATGTGCCCTTACGTGAAAAACCTTGACGCAACTAACCTGGACCAACCAGATGAACTTTTTGATGGAGCAGCTGGTGTTTTAAGCATTATTGTATTTAAGATAACTTAAGTTAGAAGAGAGCTCAAGTATGTATGGAATGAGTTTGATGAGGTTACCAAAACTGGAACACTGAGAAAAATTTCGTTTGTAATATTAACCATTGGCATTTATTAACTGAAATTACATTGAAACAACAATTTTCTTCATTGATATAAAGATACGTTGTTAGTTAATCCATTACAACGTTTGTTGCGAGAATTAATTAGTATTGGTTGGACCAACAACACATTTTACATCAGTCAATGTATAGAAATTATTGCAAGATCGAACTTCACGTTAGCGCAATTAACAATTTCATTGAATAGATTAATACGTTTATTGTTCTTCACCAACAAGTTTTATGAAAACGTTTCGTTGTAACAATGTAATAAGACATTAAGTGATACTGCCTTCCTTAATGCAATGTTTCGTAGTTCATTATCACAATGAAGAATCAGCATAGATCATTGAATAGCTACACAACATTAAAGAACTTGGTTTATCGTTACAACGTATTTCTGCTAATAACATCATTCGCTCTAATAATGCAACTATGCGTAATTTAATAACACCGTATAAGTATTATTTTTACGTACGTACACTCAACCAATCAAACCAATAGTTGTCTCAACGAACAATTTTAAATGATAGACACATTTTATCCCCAGAAGAGGGGAAAACATCAAGTCGAAGCCCACAATTCTATTAACCACCGTGCAATCAAAGCGTTAGTGCAGTTTTATAGTGAAATATTTGAAATAAAAGTAGGTAAGTGCATATTTAATAAAAAAATCTATATTTTTTACACCCGACATCCTTTGCAGTCTGGGCTGGGGCTGTGTCACATCATTGCTTGTTGGAATTCTTCACGACTAAAATCATTAAGAAAAAATAGTTCAATATTCTTTTTTTATATATATAGTAGGTAATAACAATGTTATGCTTTATTTGTAAAAAAAGCTTTACTACCTTAAAGCTACTTGTATTTCATTTTAAACGAAATCATGAACTTACTACAAATTCAGTGTTTCGGTGTTTTGAAAACAACTGTGGTCAAATTTTTCAAAATTTAAGTAGCTTTAAAAAGCATATGAATAGAAAGCATTTAAACCCAGAATTAGAAGACAAACTTATGAACAAACAAAATTTAAATCTATTATACCCAGATGAAAACAACACCCAAGATTTAGCAATAGCCAACGATTATACATCACCTCCCCTTAGCAGGCATTCTTTTTCCGAAATAAATTTATTGTTACCAGACGAAAACAGCGCCCAAGGTGTGGCAGTATACAGTAACGAGTATACATCGTCTCCTCCTAGCAGGAATTCTTTTCCCGATAATGAAAACACCGACAAGCAAGATAAATTTAAATTGAATAAAAAATCCTTAATTCAACATGTTATTAATTTTATACTTATACTTCACAATAATAATAATTTTACTAGAAAAGATGTTTTTAAAATTCAAGAATATGCCAATACATGTTTAATTGAACCCCTTTTAGATACATTTGCATCATTTGCTAACTGTGCATTTCAGCAACAAACCGATTTATATAATGAATTTTGTGGCTTAGTATCAGATTGTAGAAATCCATTTAATAGATTTAAAACAGACTATTTGTTGTCCAATTTTTTGAGAAATGAAGGTTATACGGATGAAATTAGAGAGAATACAATAGATAATACACTACAACCAATACATCGTAGCGGTAAATTGACAAACGACCAAAAAACTGTTAAAAACATTTTAATGCCGTTAAAATTTCAGTTTAAAAATTTTTTTGAAAAAAAAGGGATACTTAGGCCTACCTTAGAGCGTATAACATTTTTAAAACATACGAAAAATTTTATTAACTTTGTGCAGGGTGATTTATGGAATAAAAAATCTCAAATGTATCCTAATAAAATCCTTATCCCATATCTGCTCTATATTGATGACTTAGAAATTAACAATCCTCTTGGATCTAATTCCTCCAAACACTCAATTTGTAACGTATACTATTCTTTTCCTTGTTTGCCGATAGAAGAATCCAAATTAGAGAACATATTTTATGCAGCAGTCGTAAAATCCAATGACTTAAAAACATTTGGAAACGAAAGATGCTTTGAAGCGTTAATAGAAGAATTGATAGACTTAGAAATTAATGGAATAGAAATTTTAGGTGAACGAGTTCATTTTATTCTAGGAGTAGTAGTTGGAGATAACTTGGGCTTGAACTCATTTCTTGGATTTAGCAAATCATTTTCGAGCCAATATTTTTGTAGGTTTTGTAAAGCTCCGAAAACAGATACACAAAAATTAAGTACTCAACCAAGTGATGTAGATAGGACGAGAGATAATTACGAAACCGATCTTTTAAATCTGGAAGAAAGTGGAATTGTGAAGAGATCCGTTTTAAACAAAATACCATCATTTCATGTCGTAGAAAATTACTATGTTGATATCATGCATGATCTCTTTGAAGGTGTGTGCCATTACAGCTTATGTCAAGTTATTGCTCACTTCATTACTACGATGAAATATTTTGACCTTGCAACGCTTAACTCCAGAAAACAAAATTTTGAGTACGGGCCAATAGAAATAGACAATAAATCCGGAAAAATTGAACAGCATCACATTTTGAAAAAGAAACTGAAAATGTCAGCAAGACAAACTATGACGTTTGTACAATATTTTCCTCTTATGGTAGGCGATCTCATTCCTTCAGATGATCCAGTTTGGAATTTTACTTTAAATTTAATAGAAATTATCGATATATTGCTGTCTTCCGAAATATCTGAAATGAGCATTAATTTACTAGAATATAAAATAAAAAAACACAATGATGACTATATATTGCTATTTAACGATACTTTGAAACCAAAATTTCATAATTTATCACACTATCCAAAAATACTTCGTCAAGTAGGACCCCTGAGGAAGCTTTGGTGCTTTAAGTATGAATCGAAACACAGACAATTTAAAATATACTCGCACTGTATAACTTCCAGAAAAAATATTTGTATGAGTTTAGCCAAAAAGTACGAATTAAAATTTGCATATCAAATAATGGTACGTACAGATGTAATAACTAAATACACGGTAGAAGATAAACATAAAGTAGAAAGTAACTACAAAAACATTATACGTGAAAAAATTAATGTTGAAGAAGGTGATGTCGAATTATATCACAAATTGAATTATGAGGGAGTTGATTATAAACGCAACAATTACATTGCTTTATTTGTAGATGATATAATATTTAACATAATATTGGAAATTATAGTATTAAAAAATCAAGGCGTATACTTTTTTGTTCAAAACCTACAATCTGTAAGCTACGTACCAAACTTGATTGCATATGAAGTTAATCCAAATGCATTAGGACCATTCTCCATAATTTCTATAGAAGACATTGTTGGTCCTCCTATGACTCTGATAAAGACAGCAAAAGGTAAAGCTATGATTCGTTTGAAAGAATATTACAAACTAGCTCCGTAATTCATAAATTCTTAAAATAAAGCATAACAGCATATTATTCTTAATTTCACACTGTAAATATTGAGAAAACATTTTTGAAAAATTTAGATATAACCACCATTTTATGCATCTTTTACAAAACATCGTATACTTACTTCCGCAGTAACATTGTACACGTACCTACTTAGACTATACCTACAGATACAGTTGAACGATTTACAAACGGTTTCTATCAATGGATCAATCCAACTCTTGTAATCGCGACCCTTATTCGCCGTATACAAATGACTATGTGGCTGTGGATTACGGAAATATTTTTAATTCCATTCAAAACTTGCCTGTAAGTGTAAACAATGAAGGTAGAGAGAGTAATTACAATTTGGGGTCTCCTGATGGTGAAACGATACTGGACATATCTGGTTGCGAAGATCAACCCATACAGGATTTAACAAAATTGTTGAAGGAATGGAAACAAGAATTTCTTTTGGAGCATTTTGTTCGTAAGTCCTTTTGAATCCATCTTTTAATAAAACTCATAAATGTTTTATTTGTTTTAGAACAAAAAGTATTTGTCGATGTGTTGAAGGTTATTAAATCTCATCACCTTGAACGCCTTTTGAAAGATTTCGAAATTGGAATACAAATTGTTTTCGAACACAATTTAGAACAGTGGAGACAGTCCATGGGAGCACCATTACTTTATAGTGGAAATACTTCAACACTAACTTCACCATTATCCCCAACTTCATCGTGTAGTTCCTCCAGGGCGTCATCACCCGCTCACGACTCGCGTGTAACACCCTACTGCAAAGAACAACCGGACAGTCAACCAAATATACCTTTATCGACTATATTATATGAAACAACTAAAGGTGTTATGCTTACTGACTTTTATAATAAGTTTTCGAAACTACAAGAAGAACAGCGTACAATATTAATAACTTTAGTCGCACAATTTCATGAAGATAAAGGCATAGCGATGACCCTTGCAGGAAGTTACAGATTGGAACGAGAAATTTTGGAAAGATTTCCAACTGAGAGACTGGTAGGTAGATGAAATTTAAAGTTTTATATTTTTTCACCCTCATGTTTTATTTTAGGAATACTATCGTTCGAATAAACGAGGACGAATATATAATAAATTCTGTAATTTGAAGAAGTCTGTGGGAACTGCAATTGGAAAATATGTATCAAACACCAAATCCAAAAACCAGCCTGAAAAGAAGTACAGATTAGAAAAAAACTTTGGTAATATAATTGAATATCAATTAAAATAGTTATTTGTACAACTAGTTTTAAACGTAATACTTTTTTTCATGAATTTGCACTAACGAGGACGAAGCCCTAGTTAATCAAGCACATAAGGAAAAAAAGACTCTATTAAGACGTGTTGTAAACGAACTAAATTCTCAAAAATTGATAGATAAGACTAATCGCCATGGAAACGCATAGTAAAAATCGCGAAAAAATAGTATATTGTGTATCTAGTAGTATAAGCAATACATTCCTGGATGCCAAGTAAATTGTTAGCCGAGACTAACAAGCATTGGAGTCCGGGATTGTGCTTTTATACTACGTGGTACACAAACTACTGTTTCTGAAATCGCAATCAACATTATCATAAACTAAGGAACTCTTGTAAATGCATAACAATTTTTGGTTACCATCTTATTGCCTATGAAATCGTTTCCTTGACAACTGTGTTTGACATATTTTGATGGCGTAGGCCGGCAAAAATTTTCCCGGACTACTTTTGGTCCAGGAAAGTTCGTTGCTGCTGACGTATTTTGAGGTCTGAATTTGCTCCAAGAAAGTAGGCGTTCTCGAGCGATTTCAGAAATTTGTCTGACGCTGTCAACGTCTAAAATGTCAAACTTTAATGGCATGAAATGGGCTGAGAAATGTCATGTTTTACTGACGTTTGAAGAAAAACTTAATTAACACATGTACTACATACCTATATGGTCACCATTTTAGAGCCAGAAACTGACGGCGAAGCCTGCCTTAGAGCCTTGAAGTACGACAATTTATCAAGTGAGCAAATTGATAGCACTTGGAAAGCTTGCAGCCAGTATCGGCTGCATGACATAAAAACTTTTGGGGATACTGGTGCAATAATCGATAAATGGTCGTTGTATAAAAGTCCTTCGGGCTTTCGACTGGTATGTTTTGATTAAAGCACATACTGCAATCTAGGTACTTACTCGTTTTTATTTATAGATCGACATGGACTTCACGGTAGCCTTCTCTAATGGAGAGGGTCTACTAGACAACTGGGAGAAATGTTACGATAAAATCTTGACATTTTTATTCACGGATAGTAATTTAAAAGACAAAAACTTAAAACTAATTTTGGAAGAAATAAGAAAAAACGGCAGCTTGTCTGAAAGTGAGTGTAACTAGGAAGAATGATTTCGCGTTAAGTATTAATTTTGCAGATTCAAGAACAGCATCACTTTTGTGGGCTCTGCATGGGTACTTTGTGCCCACAAATAAATCGGTCAAGAAAGACGAGACTGGAAAGAACCAAACAATAAAATTTACAATCAAAGATTCCCAGGAATCTTTCCTGTTCTTAGGGAAGTCCTTCCAAGAGGTGGAGGACCACTTGAATCATTTAGGGCAGAGAATGGTCAGCATTCAGCCGTTTGTATATTGTATAGGGGATGATATACTTTCAATCACGGACATTTTCATTTATTTTGATAACATACGATATAAATTTTTTAGTGTGTTACGGGCGGTGGATATATGTTTTAAAATATTTTATTTATTTGATCTGGAATTCCCGTTAGCATCTTCGATGTTTTACTGTTTTTTGGAATCTTTTTTTTTTAAAATGAAATCTAAACAAACCTTTTCCAAAGTATTTATTTTAAATGAATACTTGAAGTCCTCGTTGGAGTCACACGAATGACTGGAGTTATATCTATGTTTTTAGGAATTATTTTAGTTGTTTATATACCTACATAATGTATATAAAAATTATAAAATTATAAAAAAATATTTTAGTTTAAAAATAAAGGGCACAAAAATTTTTTTTCTTATACCTATTAACTAATAAGATTCATTACACCAATTACTAATGTTTGTTGAGTGTACGTAAAACATTTATTACATCAACGAATTAAACTTATTGAATAAACGACAGTAATTGTTATATTAGCGAATAGTATTCATTTCATCAATTACTAATATTCGTTAAGTCTATGTAAGGTATACATAGAAACAATAACCTTAGTGGTTAAACAATGTATGATGATCGTTACGTCAATGATATGATCGGTTGAATATATAAAATGAAGTTCTTCATTATAATGATCTATGTTTGTTGGTCCAATAAACTCTTAATTGTTTAATGAATGCATTTATCAAACAATGAAAAGTTTTTCGTTAACGGAAAGAAATCGTTCGTTGGACCAATTTTAATGCAATTTTACATCAATTCAACAAACTTTTTTATTGTATTTATGCCTTTTTTTGGTTCAGTGAAGAAGAATGCTAAAGCTTGTGCAGAGGTATACATAATAATAATAACATTACACTATGATAATATAATGAAGCGTGCTCAATGGGTTTATGATCGGCAGTGCCGTTTTTCACATATCCCTTTTTACTTATATAGGTATGTACGCAAGATAGCGCTTTATAAAATTACTGCAGACTGCAGGATAAACCCAATGTGGACGCCCATTTAATAATGCACTCGAGCGTTAAATTAGAAGATATGGCTTAATACGGTCCGTAAAATCTTAGATTCTCTTTAGATTCCCCTTCCTTGGAAATCTGAATTGAAAAGCTGGATGGGGAAAATCGTGGTTGTTGATTTTCGATTGCTTCAAGTTCAGGAAGCGCACATTCGTGTTGCTCAACAATAGTTATTTACATAAAAGTCAGGAAAATGACACATTTTACTGACGAGTTTTGTATTAAATTTTACCTGAAACCGTCAAGAAAATATAAATTTCAGGGCTATTTTGACATTAGAAAGTTGATCTTTACCTGACTAGTACTGTAATATTTTTGCCTGACTCCCATTACAGTTCTAGTACATGCAAAATAACAATTAGATCGTTCATTGAATAAGTTATTCAATCAACGATTGGATAATTATAATGCAGACTATGTGGATATTTTTAAATATTAATATACCTACACAAAGGATAATGGTTTTTTAATTGCGAACAATTAATGGAATATGTGTGGAAGTAATTATTCCTTTAGTTTTACGTCAGTCATTAAAAGGTTTGTACTCTTTTTCGTACCTCTTTCTTGACTTTGTGGGGAGCGAATATTGCGCTACGGCGGCCGCAGTTTCGGCTACATTATAACGTCTCGCGTAGGTACTCTTTTTCACTGATACCTGCTTTTGTACCTAGTTATAAAGACTGTATAGTTGAAAAGTACAAAGCATAAACTGCAAACTGCATTAAAAATGACACTGATTGTTTTAATTATTTTGAAATCTCTATGGAAACAATTAAATAAAGTGATTTTAGCATGCGTGATTAGGTATCAAAATTTCACACATGAATAATTTAATTTGGAAAAGTTATCTACATGTTGCGGATTCAGGTAAAATTTTATACATAATATGTCATGAAAGTGAGTCCACCTGACTTGGAGCCATTAAAGAGATTCGTACTTTTCAATAAGCCTCCGCGTCATGTAAACGACCACTTTCATGACTTATTATGTAAATAACTATTACCCGAAATCGTACCTATTTTAATGTTTATATAGAAGATTTGAGTAATGTCGGCGGCAGGAAAAGTAGTCCGGTAAAGTTTTACTGCCTCTGTCACGAGTTTTACAAGACGAATAAAAATAAAGTGTATATACGTTATGTCAGATTCTGTATGGCAATTATTATTGCTGCAATGAAGCACTTTCAATTAATAGAGTACCTATTAGACTTTTGCGCGATTTTGCAAAAATATGCTGCCACCTTCGGCACCTTCCAATTTCGTTTTCAAATTACCTAGGTACGTCATAAATATTATGCGAATCTTTTGAGAATGGGCGAATTATGGTTCCTGATCCAATGAATGTTTTTTTACTACACGATAAACAAGTAATAAATAAGTAATTATGGTCGGCACAGCCATGCGAATGAAGATATGGAAATCGCAACTTACCATCGTTGACCATCTGTTTCACCATCACAGCCGCTACCACTCTGCCACCGCACGAAATAAAGTAGGTATGCCAACCGGTGCAGGGAACCAGAGGAAGAATTTTTTTAAATAAGGCTAGGACTCAAAACGTTTCGCTTGAAAACCATGTTTCCAAAGCTCCCAAAGTTTTGTTTTTCCGATTTTGTAAATTGTTTTCCATGTTTTCCAGTGAAAGATGGCGCCCGCCTATAAAGAAAACGTTGGCGCCCTCTGACGTATTTACCTACGGGCAACTTAATTTACATTTGTGAAATGCACTAAAAAATCAACCAATATATCTATGTAGGTACACAACACAACAGACGCGTAGGTAGGTACATTGGGCATTGGTTACATACTTTATAACGATGAACAAAATAGGTACCTTACGGTCGTTAATATCATTTGCAAATACCTCTAGTTAATAGTAGATAAATAATTAATAGGATAATGAAATTTATGGTAAACATATTAACAAATTACGATCCTGTGGTAGGTTGAATTCAATAAAGGGGGTTTATTATGTTCGAAACCGTATAAATGTGAGGGTTGATTTCCCAAATACAATATATGCGCGGCATACAATAGAAAAGTTAATTTCATTCGCCTGGTTTCATAACAAGTACATAATACGGCTATAAATCAAATCATAATGCCTATTAATTTGAACCTGGATTACGAATGTTTGATAGCGACGACCAACTTTATTTACGTCTTATAACGCAAGTTTGCGAATTAGTAAGGTTTAATTAAATTTTTGCAAGTGTTTTCAAACAATAACGCGAGAAAATAGTCTGGAATGGGTTATAAACAAGAAATTTATAACTTCAGATCACGTTTAAGTGAGGGTGAAACTTGCACAGATGTACAATTGAGGTATAATTTTCCCCTTGAATATTCTATTGTCTCCTAAATCCCCTTAATGATTGCGAGGCTAGTCACAATTGCCTGAAGCAGGAGCAAAGTATTTGTAAATAAAGATTCCCAAGTCGAAATCTACATTAAGTATTTTAATAAATAAAAGTGTAAAAAATGTCATTAATTAATTATTATTAATCGCAATTGTATCATTCATTTGAATTTAAATGAATCGAGCTCAAACGTTCTTGCTCTTCAGCATCTTTTACGGCAATTTGGTTAAGCCTCTTTTGAATGTGTTCTAATCGTTGTTGCAGTTGATCGTGTTTCCAAAACTTCCCTTCATTATCAGCGCATTCTAAAACGTCCCCTTCCGACGTCTCCAGTTTATTGCAATCTTCTCCGTACGAATGCAAAATCTCCTAAATAAAAATTGGATTCGTAAATCGATACAAAATTCTTTGCTAAAATTCGCATAGGAACCTGTAATTGTGTCGTTAAGTTCGCCATAAGGGATTTTTCCTCAGTTTTCATTTTGAAATAGTTATAGTCTGAAGAATCCTCTTCGGAGTGCGTTTCATTTGCTTTTTCGCTTTTTTCCACATGATTTGTGTTACTTGTAGGAGATTCCTCGCTATCTGCAAATTTGAAGGACCAAAATCAACCACTTACTTTGACTTAGGTACCTACTCTTTATTGCATTATCAGAAAGCATTGGTGAGAAAAATGTATGCTTGCAGGTTTCGCTATTGCGCTATATAGCTTAGTGTAATTCTATGCCTAGGTAGGTAAATTTTCACCACCAAGAGCACATTTTTTGTGGATACTAGTAGCCAGTAGGTATGTTAAAAGTCGTCGATCGGTTGTGGAAAATGCACATTTTCAGCGTACCTACATCATACTTATTCAAATTTCACATTATTGGTGTCAACATTTAATTTGATAAATAGAGTTTTGCACATTGCGCATAACTTTATAAGCACTCTGTAGGTACTTAACTCACAGAATTTTATTCCACAACATATAATTTTTAAATAAAATATTCTTATATACCTCACTATCACTGCGTCGCTGACGTTTTGTTAACGCGCTTTAACTAATAGAGAAGCAATACATTCTCAACAAAAATTTAAGAATAATTATAAGCCCCTAAAGATTTGTCAAATGTGGGTACCTACGTCGGTACTTTTCTGTATAAAAGCAATGATAAAAGTTAAAAATAGCTTTAACTTACCATCTGCAAGTAAGGTTTCCAGTTTAAGTTTTTCCTCGTCCGTTAAAGAAGATTTCGCCATTGAATAAAACTTCGCTACCTGTAAAAAGTACACTGAATGTAAAGTTTGTTTGATCAATATAATATGGCTGCTTATCGTACGTCAATTTACATATGACACAAAACTTGACAAGCTAGACCTAATGACAAATTTCTCTCTTGCATTCATTTTTTAGTTAACACAACCTTAAAGTTAATTGTAGAACACTTCCCTACATTGGATGTTTAACAAAAATTTAGTCTGCATATAACTGTTTCCAACTTTTACAAATGGGATTTTGATACAAAAGCCTACTTTTACGACATCGATTACGAGTTGGCTATATTAGAAATACCTATATCAAAAATTCTACTATAGGTATTTGCGGAATGGAAACGAAGAGCAATTATGCAAGTTGCACGAATCAGAACTGATTGATTGTGAAATAATTATTTGTACCTACAACTAGAGAAGAAAGTGGAGTTTTTCATCTCGATCAAACACATGAGCGTAACAAGTTTTACATATAATTTTTTCTGAAACTACAATCAAATTTGCAAAATTATCGTATGCAATTATGAAATTTAGAATTATGAAATCTAGATGCGGGTATGCCACAATTTTAAATGTCATTATTAAGATTAACTTTTTACTTTCCTCACTAGAGAGGAAACTCCCATTTTATTCAGCATTTTTAGAGACGAAAGTATAGGTAGTTGTTTGTAAAGTAGTTTCAGAAAAAGTAAATTGTCCAACATTTTGAAATACACACGTTGTTGAAGATGGTTCCACCATGTGCTTAAAAACAACAATTCAAGTGTTGGATATCGTAACTTTTGATGTAGGTAGACAAATCCCGCCTTCCACAAATCAGGAACCTCCAGAATATAACTAAAATATAATAAAAGATTACAAATCAGAAATCCGGGACACGAACAATTCTTTCCTGAATTTTATTAATTATTATTTCACGCCTGCATTAAGCGAGCTAAACAATCTCGAGTACTGGACTGATAAGAGAAGAAATGCGAAGTTATAGACCCAAAACTATTATAATTTAGTAATTAAAAATGATCGTAGATTTAAAAAGAAACCTTTCTAAACAGTGTTTCAGAGTAGGTATTCACCTATTGTTTAAAATCGATGGTGTATTATATAGGTAATACCTATCATCAATCATTAAGTTGTAGTTATACTTATATCAATATATCGATTTGATGGATTGTTGATATCGATATTGCCGATTGTTCATATTATCATATATTATCGATATTATTGATTACTGTTGTATAGATAATTATTGATAATTTTTTCTTATTATGAAAATAAGTGTAAATTCTTGTAAAAGGAGATCCGAATAGGAAGAATTTTTTCAAAATCGTGGCTCACCATTGGGATCTCGGCCGTAACGATGAGAGAAACAGTGTAGGTTAAATGGGGGCAAAGTTGCCCCTTTTTGTGACTAAAAAACGCATTTGGAATTTTTGAAAAATCATTGAAAATAATTGGGATTTCACCGAAAAACTGAAAATGTCAAATTTCGTTTTCATTTTCCCTAGCTTAAACGGTCGAAAATAGGCGGTTTCCGTTAGCACTATCTATTAGCAATTTTTTTTCGGAGAATCTGAATCTGCTATCAGAATTATTCCAATAACACGCTAGATGTAAAAGTTACACGCTACTACTTTCTTTCTTACTTCTTACGGATGCTATATTTGATTTTCACAGATGACGGAATGAGATAGAGGGCAGAAAAAGATACATAATAACGTAACGTACTTATCACGTGCAATACTTTTACATAAATTTATATCATAACCATGTTGATTCAGCAAGATCTACCTATAGTTACTCGTGGATGATTTGTTGAGAAATCGTCATAATTTTTCTCTTTTTTGGTCTTCTATCTCATTCCATAAAAATCTATGACGTCCATAATAAATAACGAAGTACCTATTGTAGCCCAAGGTTATAGTTAGTTGGTAGCCCGTAGTTTCTACATCTAGTGTGCCATAGTCACAAAAAGGGGAAACTCCACCGTATCTCTGAGATCCAAATTTAAACCACCGTGTATACGTCTCATTAATTATCATATCAGATCTGTATATTTCACAGAATAAAGTTGAGGATGGTCCCAAAAAGTGAAACGTCAAACTTAAAACCTAATTATGCTAGCTTGTACGGAAAAAAAGTTGCAAAGAGACAGTGGCATTTGTTCTCAAACAACCCTTCAAATAAAATCGCAAAAAAATATATAAAAGAAATAGTTAATTCTGGTATGCCGATCTCCAACAGTATTCGGAATTCCTTCACTTTCTAAGTAGCTTTAGATTCGACCTCAAAATGCACAACTTTAACTTTTTTAACTCACTTTGTATGTATTACGATTTCCGAGATCCCAGGGGCCACTCTTACATTATCGACAGCTTCGATACCTAGACCTTGATGGTCACCTTCTACAAGGAAGGAATATGAAAGTTCCAAGGCGATTATATTGAGACATATAATAATAGTGCCTTTATTGAGTAGCAGCTGCAAAATATAGAAAGGAAAGTGATCGTAATAATTACAGCTCAAAGGGCGGTGTTCAGCTTGTAATAAAAATTACTCGCTGCTCTTGCACTCAACCCAAGCAATAAAGCATATACTGTGTGTCCCAGGTTGAAAGAACCATAGGCAAACAGAATTAATGTACCTATTAGGGTCAGTTGAAGATACAACAGCCAGTAAAGCAGCATGTAAAGAGTTTTTAACAGTTCCATAGCAGCGGCATCTGCGTTAAACTTTTTCACGTTTTGTCAGTTATGGCACCAATAAGACAGTTAGCAATAGTGCCAAATTCAGTTGCAACAACAGTGTTATGAATACTGCCCATAGATGTATTCTCAATATGTCTATATGATACTGCGGCCGATAGATACAATCACACACTTACATGTATATTTCGTATTAAAAAACTCTTTCGATATGTTTTAGCACGGATCTTAGGTCGACATTCTTTACTATCTTCAATTTCTAAGGATGTTAATTAATCAAAATTCTGTTTGAAAAATGTCGACACTTACCAGTCGTTTGCCTCTTAACATCAAAATGGCACAATTCAAGAAACTTTTGGGTGTCCCTACGCGGTTCATTATCATTGAATATTAACATGCACATTTCATTCTGCGCAACTTTACGTTGACCTTTCACTTTCTGTGAATTTATTAGTCTATTACTACTACATACTCTTAGTAAATTGCAGATAGTACCTGATACAACAAATCTTTCTCATTAATCTTGGAATCAAGCTGGAACATATTAGCAGATAATGTTGAAACTGTAGCACTACTTGTGTCTTGAATGGGCTGTTTAGGTAGATACTCTTCTGCAATTGTTTCATGAGAAACTAAATGGCATTTTTGTGTTAGTGGTCGTTGGTTCAGACGTCTTACAACAATAGACATTTCAGTATAGAGACCATAATCCATTTTAGACAGGTGGTCTTGAGTTGTCTCTAAATTAAAACAGAACCAGTGATCTTGCGCATGTAACAAATAGAAACAACAAATATTTTATTGCTAAAAGTGTTGGTGCAAAAGGTAAGTATACAAATATAAAATACATGTAAAATGTCAACAACTATATAAATATAACACTCTTAAGAGATTATGGATTGTCTACGGATGTGACTTCAAGTGAAATACCTTCTGGGAAATCCGGCAACTTAATGCTGCCCCGTTTGGGTCTCCACTGAATCATCTTTTCCATTTCAGACTCATCGATCGATTCCTCAGATTCGCTGTTCTTTGAATCAACTGATTTCTGAGAGTTCGCTTTATCAACGGACTGGACACGCTCTGGAAATAAATATTTGGATTCCTGTAGATTTGAAGAGGTTGATTCTTTTTTCGGAAGTTGAGCAAGTGGTGATATTCCTCGTTTCTGTGGTTTATTTCGTTTCATTTTTCGGTGACTTGTGGTGCTTGCATGAGATTCTTCGTCACTGCTACCCTCGGTACATAATTCCTCACTCGATATCCACTGTTCTTCCTCATCCTAAAGTAAAAAGGAGTTGAACAAATTTATAGAAACAGGTCGACTTGTAAGATAAAAATCTGTATTCCATGAACGCAACTAAATCCTAAAATTAATATCAAACCCTGTAGTGAGTAAGAGCCGACTTCTATTAATTGTCGCTAATAAGACGTAAAGAAATAATTCTTTGTATAATATACAACTATAAAGTCAAAATGGCGAACATTAACTTCCTTGTGTGGTAGTTAAAATAAACGTTTTTACTACTGATGCCGAATAATTAGAATTAGTTAATTGAATATCACTATTTGTTGATTATCTAATAGGTCCAAACCAGTATAAACTATGAAGGACAACAAAAATATCTAAGAGTACTATACTATACCATTGTATTGCAAAACTGAAAAATACAAAAATTAAGTTTAGCTTTTTTAGATATGCTTTAATTCCATTTCCTTTGTTTCAGGTAAAAATGGTGTGAAACTCGATGTGAAACTACGAAAGAACCTCCAAATCAAAGTCCTACCAAAACGATACCTAGGAAAGCTTGAACATGGTAGAGGTTTCAAAAAAATTAGCACCAGGAACCTCTCACATACCTAGCACTACAATAGCGAGGAAGGCCAGCAGCACCTCAGGATGGTGTAATATGAATATATTTGAAGCATGGTATTTTAAAGTTCTCCTCTTGCACATAATAAAAATTTGGAAAGCAGATGTGGATGTATTTGGACATATGAGAAAGTGGTGGAGCAAAATTTTAGACAACTGGAAGAAAGGAATTAAAAAAAGAAGAGGCAAAAAATTGAACCTAGTAAAAATTTAGCAATAAATGACACTAATTAATTTGTTTCTTCAGGTGCTAGAGATAAATTTATTGCAACTGTTCTTCTGTCTTCGAATTAAAAAATGCTACCGGATCTTCTGGTGTAGTTATACAGAAAAGAATAAAGACACACGCTCCAATATGCGCTAGAGGAAAGAATGAAAGACAAAAAGTGAAATAAAAGTAAAATGTTAAATGGGACATTTGACAAATCACAAATCAATAACTTGAAACACAAACGCAAAAAACCCACAATTATGCTCTCTTCTTCTGCACGACAACTGTATAATGCATAACAAATTTTTCATGAAGTAATAAACGAATGCGGTTTTAAGGAATTAGAACATGCACCTTACAGTCCCGATCTGGCTCCCTTGCACCATAATCTCTTTCTAACTGTTCATGGAATGAAGACTTGGAAAATGCTGTGCAGAATTATTTTCGAAAAAGTTGGAATAAGTCCTATGTTGAAAAATGAAACTTTGTTTGCCCTGTAACTGCTCCTTTTCATCGCTAGGTAGATAACATAAAAAAACTCCCCACGTAATAATTTCATTTTTTCTTGCAAATTAAAAAATTTACTGCGTTTGCACGTAAAGAAGAGAGGCCCGTTACTTTATCTTCACAACAACCGATTTCTGTTTCACTCTCTTGTAGAAAAAAAATGGTAATAAAAACTTTAATTTCATCAATTTGATATAAAATGTATGAATCCCATCTACCCTGCACATCAATTATCTAATGATTAAAATGCGCAAGATTACAATAAAATTTATAGTAGGCGCCTATGGAAAGTTAGTTAGGAATTTAGGTCGAGGTACAAGAAGTAGGTGAGAGATGGTATTGTACTATACAAATTCCTATGATAGTTATCAAATATATGAGATTTGCCCATCCTTAATTTAAACACTAAATCTCTTAATGTGGGAATTAGGTTCATTGGTGTCTCTTTAATTGGATTAGAAGGTTAAAACAAAGTTGTAATCATTCAATTTTACCAGAAAAGTTTCATCTAACCTGATGCCGCAATAAAATAATAACAACCCTCTCACTGTACCACTACTTCCTGTATACATAACAACTAAATTTCAAAATTGACCACATGTTAAGATACCGATATTGATTTAATTATTTCAGTTTCACTTACTTTATGAGTGTCTTGTAATAAATGTCAAGTTCATTGTTCACATTGCCTTGGTTAATGATTAACCACAAAGGGTCCTTTTTAATTCCAAATTTAAGTTGGTTATTGTCTTTACTAAAGGCAAGGTATAGATTTACTTGAAAATAAGAATATGTCGGTCAATTTGAAATGAACAAAAAAAGCGTTACACAGATCGGAGAATAAAATTGAATATAAAACACATACCTGCTTCCTTAACCTTGCATGTTGTGCAAGCTTAAATGCCTTAATACGTTCTGCTTGACTTGTCATCTTACGAGAACAAAATGAGCTACAGCAAAACTGTCAAATTGAAACAATTAACAACGCTATCCTAATTTGCTAGACTACCTATTTACACTTAACAACATAAAGCAATTTTTACATTCTCAAACAGGATGTACAAGTACTGTCTGTCAGACATTATTTATGTGGGAAAAAAGACATATAAAAGTAAATATCATGAACATCATCTGCTAGCTGAGTCATGCTTCATAATAAGCTTTAATAACGAGTAAAGTACAATTTAGTAATTACATAGTGCTAAAGGACGGCGTCTTTTTTAATTAAAAAAAAATGTTAGTATCATACTATCCTTCTGCTTATTTAAAATCACAATATTGTTGACCTACAATTATAAGTTACAGTAAACAATTTAGTCACCTCAATACTGACTTACGTTTTTAATTGTCTCTCAGACTTTTTGGTGGGAGGATGTGAACTACATCAGAGGGAAAGTGGTCTTTAATTAACAATCCTTGATGATCACTTGATTGGACCACAGATTCCACAAATCCAAACCAGTATATTACCAGTCCCGGTCCGAATCTAAGAAAACATATTTTGAAAACAAATTATTATTTGCAAGTAAAACTAGCCTTTAATTATAAATTAAAAACCCCCTAATATTTGAAAAAAGGAGCAACGGAATTTAAATAATAAACACAGATCATGCCATGCCACTAGTTAAACAGTATTGATAAAAATGAATTAGCCACAAAATCAATAAAAAATAAATGAGCGTAAACAAAACTTTATTAATAGACTTCCTCAATGAAAAAATTTAAAATGTTTGGTGACACTGCCACCTACTTGTCATACTCTACACCACCAGAACACTCACAATACAAATTTAATCAATAGCTCTAATTATAACTTCCTTTAATTTATATCAATTAATTACCATAAAACACTCATACCAGCATAATGTAGTGCTTAGAATTTCCATATAAGTAACAATAGCGATAGAAATATTATTCCTGGACACAGACTTTTGAAAAGAGTTCCCTAATGAATTTTAAAAGAACCCATTTTAATTCCCATCGCAATTTTTCCACGCTTCACGTACTGATTTGGCAATGCCATTATAGTTTTGATTAGGATCAATAAGTGCAAATTAGATTTACAGCCTGCTTTGGCGCAACTTTTAAATGCGAGAAATTGTGCGCATGAAATTATTTTACCTCAAAACTTGATTAAGACAAATAAGTTAAGTCCTCACTTTGCGAATTTGAGCATTTTGAAAAATTATTTTAATAGTTTGTGCGCTAGTGTGTGCTCGCGCTTGGATTAGAGTCTGGAACACTTAATATGTCTTCAAAACTACACTTTATGCAAAGAAGCTTTGTATGGTATCCAAAATTATAAAAAGTTTACTACCAATCTACGTACTTTAAATTACAATCGTCTAAATGGGCCCCTTCGTTCCGCACACTGCGCATGTGTGACGCTTTTTGCTTTTAAAAAAATTAAGAAAACCTTCAACCTACAAATAACCTACTAACCAACTACGCTGAATTGGGGCTGCATTTAGTACCATTGCCACTAGACCATTTGGCACTTGGCACATACTACATCAGCACTGAATGAGTTCATATTCTAAAATAGTTGCAGCAGGGGTCAATTATAACGTTTTTGCATGCGCAGTGAATGGGTCCGTTTAGCTTAAAATCTTTGTGGTCAGTGTCATATTAAAAAAAGCTCATTCTTTAATAATGCATCGAGAAATGCTTTCCATAAAATAAAGTGACCCTCTTAGTTCTGAATGACGCACGCCACTGTAAATAATTTTTAACTATGTAGATTTACTTACTTACTTGTTAATGATTTTTGATACAATAAATTGCTTTGACTTAAGTAACAAAACAATAACTTTTATTTCAATGCAAACTAGTGAAATTATAAAATTAATTATAAAAAAACTAATTTGAGTTTGTCTATTAAATGTTGTTATTTACGTTTCTATATCCAGAAAGGTTCGATGAGACCTTTTATTAGAATACCATGAAGGGTAGAACGTGTGTTAACCCCCCCCCCCAAAGTTTAACTTGGCATGTGTACACCAATTTATTTAGATGAAGCCTTTCATTAGAATACCATGAGGGGTAGAACGTGTGTTAACCCCCCTCCCTCCCGCCCGATCAAAAGTTTAACTTGGCACAACTAAAGGCATGCGTAGGCAAAATCTGAGACCAATCGGTTGTCGTATGTAAAAGTTATGCAACGTATGATACGCTCTGACAGCAGTTTGACACTTTATTATACAAGTCTAGATGGATGTCAGTTGATGTTGCTAGGCAACATTTCCAGTTGAATTGTTTAATATGAAAAACAATC